GACCCACAGGTTGAGAACCGCTGCCCTAATGACTGATATGATTGGGCATCAGTGGGTGCTCAGTGAACGTTGCTTTAATGAACTAAGTTAACTTTCCAGCTCACCTTGGGGCCTGGGGTACAGGTATGCCAGCCCCTCAATGAAGAGACTAACATGCCCGGAAATGACTGCCCCAGGCATGATGGCAGCCACCCCAAGGCACCATGGGTGTGCCTGTTGCCTAAGCGTCAGGGGGCACACAGCAGGGCATTCATCTCTCAGGAAGGTGCGAAGGCACTTGGCCGGCCGGAGGGCGATGCGGCCAGACAGCTGGTTAGAGCACCCATGGGTGGCTCCTGAGGCCTGCTGGGATGGACAGGTGGAGAGGAAACTAAAAGGGATTTCTGTATTAAGGAGAAGTAAATTCATTCTGATGGAACTGCACATAAATGGCAAGAGAAACAACAGGAATTAATGATGCCTGTGCAGGTTTCTGGCTTGAGCAGTTAGAATGAGGATTGTACGATTTCCTTAATTAAAATCACAGGACAAAGAAAAAAACACAAATGAAAAAAGACAGTTATAGGCCAAGGATCTGATTTTGTATATTGAATTTAGATGCCTGTAGTGGATGAGAAATGACTATTCAGGAAAACTTTTTTTTTTTTTGCAGCATTCTGCAAATTAGATTGAAATATCGCTAAATTCTTAGAGCCAGCTAAGAAAAGAAAAATCAGTAGTAAATGATTTTGAAAAGGTTTTAAGGCAGGGGTGGGCAACCTTTTTGTGAGTGCGTGCCAAAACCAGCAAAATCTCTGGCTCAAAATTCTTCTGCGTGCCAACCTAATTTTTTGAGAACATGTTACGCCTACTTGATATCTCTTAAGGTGTATGTATGTGAAGAACCTTGAAGAAATAATAAAATTCACTCGAGCGACAAAAACACAGTATATGATGATGAAAAATACATTTATTTTTTAATGTATACATGTTCTCTGACAGTCCAACAGAAAACTTTATGACTCCGTTTGATATTATCAGTGGGACTTTTGCTGCTGCATCACTGATGACAGAGATTTTACATCAGGTTTATATTTTGTGACCTTCAGAGATATGCACGAGCTACTACTTTCATCCGTCAGGCTACTCCTACTACGAGACTTAACAAAATTCATCACTGAGAACAAAGATTCATAAGCGTATGTGGATGAAACCAAAACACTGGTCGGATTTAGGAAGGCAGGGAGAGTTAAGGCAGAGGCATAGAAATTGCTCTTCCCCTCTCTCGTCAATCCATGTCTATGGTCTTTAAGATAACTTGTTATGTAAAATTATTTATTTATCTAAGATGCACCTACACTGAATTTATCTGAAAAATAAAAAAGTCGATATTAAGAAAAAAATTGTAAATGGAAGATTATAAGAGAGGGTTTCACGTGCCAGCAAAAGTTACTGGCGTGCCATGTTTGGCACGCGTGCCAGGGGTTGCCCACCCCTGTTTTAAGGTAATGATAATGGAGGCCTTGGTTTTCACCTTTTAGCTTGGCTTGTTTGTTTAGTTTGGTTTTATTGTGTATGGAATATTTAAAGATAAAAATGTTGCATTAACAAATTGAAGCATTTGGTCATATTGCAACATTAATAATGTGTTTTTTTTAAACTAATACTGTTGGGAAAAATGAAAGGTTTGGCAGGCTTCCTTTGACTTCATAAACATTTTTAAATTTCATGAGAATATGTAATAAATGGTGGCAAAAGAGTATTAAATTGAGTGCATTATGCTTCTAAAATGTAAAGAATCATTTGAATTGGAAATCAAGATTTTTATCTTTTAAAATAAAAACATGTTCAAAAGAGCAGCTCAGAAACGCCTCTCATTGTTGGTAAAACTATTTAAAATGCCCTGTACCTGAGCAAATCTAATCACGTCAGACGTGGAATCATGCAGTCATTTCAGAGCATAACATCTTCCTGCAGAACGAACGACAGGAGCCGGCCGCGTTGATTCCTGTTTTTCAGGCGGCGTTTCTGAGCTGTTCTTTATTCTGTCGCATTGCATGGCCTATTCCAAGTTGAAAAGCATTTCCCACAGTGAGAATGGATTTCAGTCCATATGAGAGAGAAATAACTCCCTGGGGAGGTAACTTGAATTACGTTGAGTAGTTTAAGGAAAATATTTACTTTGCTCTAATGTTTTGGAGGTGTTTTTTTGTTTTGTTTTTTAACAGTCTGGTTAGCAAAGTTACTTATGTTATCTTGGGTGATTTCTTACTTCTGAGACTAATAGTCGCACAAAATAAATAGGGAAATTACCACTTTGCTAAAAACAAAACAAAACACACACAAAAAAGAACTAATTCTGCCTTCCCCTTTTCCTCCCTCTTCCCAAGACAGAAAGACGATCTGGCGAGTCCCTGGGGGACTCACGGCCTAGTTTCACGGTCACCTCAGCTGTGTCTTGTTGAAACGTCCTGTCCAGAGTGAACAAATCTCCTTCCAGCGATGGGAGAATGTGCTAAGACTCAGCCTTCACATTCTGAGGAAAGATAACACTCATTTTATTATTCACATACCCTACAACCCATTAACGCTAAGAGCATACTGTATGATTTACTAAATAATGGCATTGCTGGGTAGATAAACATTTTCTCATTAAAATTATAAATACCACCCTAGCCGGTTTGGCTCAGTGGATAGAGCGTCGCTGTGGACTGAAGGGTCCTGGGTTCGGTTCCGGTCAAGGGCACATGCCCAGTGAGGGGCTTAGGGGAGGCAGCCGATCAATGATTCTCTCTCATCATTGATGTTTCAATCTCTCTTTCTCCCTTCCTCTCTGAAATCAATAAAAATATATTTTAAAAAATAAATAAAATTATAAATACTTATAAATGGTCTTAAAATACACCCTGCTCATATTTCAATCCAAATTTTAAAATTGTTGCCTTCTATTTTAGATACTATTAATGGTCTGCCTATAACCCTTCTCCCTTAGACTCCCCTAAATCAACGTCTTTACTTGAATTATTTCCTCAGAGTTTGTCTCTGGGGCCACAGAAAGTAAGGTGCCTTCAGTTTTGTCTCTAAAGATGTGTTAGAACATGAAAAAGAATAGAATCAACGAATAGATAAGTAGGCCTCTGAAGAGAATTGTGCTGAAGATGGAAAGTTAGCTTGCAGATGGCACAGGTGCAAACAGGATGAAATAAACTATCTGAGATCTGCCTTTAGTATGATTTAAAAGAGTAAGAAATATAGCTCCGTCCTCGCCAGTGGCCTCTATCAAAGTTATGGAAGGAGGCAGAACAGAACAGATTTGTTTTCATATATTTTCCCCCCACCCTTGCCCCCCAATAAAAAACAAATGCTCGTTGCTCTTGTGGTAAGAAGAGATAAACTGACTTCTGCTGCTACGATTTGGATGTAGGTCAGAGGTACATTTGAAAATCCCGCATTCAGGGGAGGCACGACTGCTGGTGCCTCTGGAAGGAAAGCCCTTCTGTTTGTTGGCATAAATGTAAACATCTACACCAGCTGCAGTGCCGGGCCGGGGGGGGGGGGGGGGGGGGGAGCAGCTCCCTAAATGCTCTCCCTGGGGGTCAGAGTGAAGTGGGGGGCAGTCAGCCCTGAGCATGAGCAGGGCCAGGACAGGGCCAGGACAGGAGGGCCCCAGGGGAAGCCCAGGTGCCCACCATGGACAGTGGCAGGCGGGCCTCCCCCCAGGTGACCTTCCTCCTTAGCATATGGATGGTCATGTGGTTTGACCCCCTGACCTTTCCTCCCTGGAGATAACCTCTAGGTCTCAATAGTCTGTCAGCTCCAGGCCCAGAGAAGCAGCAAAACCAGCCCCAGCTGCCCTCGGGCCCAGCTGCCTTGGTAATGACCCCCACCCTGGTGCCGGCCAATCAGTGGAGACCACACCCTGAGAGGACACACCTGGGAAGTGCTGGATGTTCTATTGGATCTTCCCAGGGCCTCCCCTAACACCTCTGCCCTTAAACCCTGAGGACAGGACCCAGGGCTCCAGCTTCCCCCCCTCCCCAGCCCCCCACAGGTGAGTTGCCTCTACCTGCCTCGCTCCCAAGCTCCCAGGACCCTCATTTGACTCCATAGCCTGTTTCCTAAGCCCCTTGCTTGTACGAGGTCCGTCTTCCTCCTCCGCCTCTCGCCGTGTTATATGTAAGTGTCCTCCTACAGACCGAGTCCTGCCTCTGACTGCTGTCCCAGCTGAACCCAGTCCCCAGGCTGCTGCCCCCAGGCTGGTCTGACCCCAAGGGTCAACCCCTGGCGCCTGCCCCTCTGCCTCCAACAGAGTGAAAGCTCAGATGGACAAATGCTTCCTGAAGTTCCCTTTCTCCCTCTCCCTCCTGGGCAGGGCAGGGGGCTCCATCACGCTGACCAGCTAATCCAAGAAGGAGAGGAGAGGAGAGGGGCGGGCTGATGGTAGCTGAGGGAGGCGGGGTGCTGTCGGTGGGTTGGAACACTGAGTTTCTCGCCTGGCGGTCTTGCTGTTTGCCTTATGTAGCCACCGGCTCCTCTCCCTTTTCAAAAAACACATCCTACATCTATCAACAAGTGAATCTAAAAATCAAGTGAATAAATAATCTGATGAACAGTATGAACTGGTGATTGTAATAGAATCAGGGACATAGAAAGGGAATGGACTGACTATTCTTGGGGGAGAAAGGGGTGTGGGAGATGCGGGAAGAGACTGGACAAAAATCGTGCACCTATGGATGAGGACAGTGGGTGGGGAGTGAGGGCGGAGGGTGGGGTGGGAACTGGGAGGAGGGGAGTTATGGTGGGAAAAAAGAGGAACCAATGTAATAATCTGAACAATAAAGATTTAATTAAAAAAAACAACAACACATCCTTCACCCTGGCCGTCCTAGTCGGCCACTTCCTTGAATGTTCACAGGAAACGACTAGAATTTTAGAACATGTATGGCAACCTCTATATTGAGATACACATCCGTGTAATTACTGATTCCTTCTACTAAGCCCAGTTTTCATGTTATTTCTAGTTCTAGGTGAGTCCATCTGACACACCGAGGAGGGAGCGCGGCTGAAGGAGAACGCGGCTGAAGGAGAGCGTGGCTGAAGGAGAACGCGGCTGGCCACTGCGTGATCGGGACGCCCCGCGTCAGTGTCTGTCGCCTTCCAGGCCGACGCAGCCAGGTAAGAAGAAGGAGACTTTGTTCACATACTTGAAACCGTTTTTGAAAAAAAGAGAAATGACAGAAATGTTTTTATTTTGTGCCGAAGATTTAAAAAGAAATTGGTAAAATACATAAAAGCAAAATAAAATCACGAATGAGCCTGTTTTCTAAAAATAACTTCCATCACTTTTGTTCTCTATCATTTGATTTTTTTTTTTGTTTTGTTGGTTTTTCCCTTTACACTAAGTTGAGATAATATTCTATGTATTCTCTGTTGAATTTCTTTATTTTTGTAATAATCTATGTTGTCTTATCTGATCATATGAGTTAGTGTTTCATAGTTTTCATGGTATCAGTTAATATGAGCAAAAGCTTTTAAAGTATTTTTAGATGTGTTTACTATTCAGAGAAGATGCTTGTAGATTGATATATACTTCACTCATTTTTCATTAGTAGCGTTACTAAAATTTGCATCACTGGTTCAATGGTTATAATATTTTAAAGGCTTCTTATTCTTCTTGCTGAAAATACCTCCAGAAGGTGGTAATGAGTTACCATTTCATCAGCCATTTTTGAAAATGTTTGTTGACCTGTTGACTTAAATATATACATATATATGTGTGTGTGTGTGTGTGTGTGTGTGTGTATTGTATATATACTAGTATATGTATATATTTATTTATTCAAAGAATTTTCCTAACAAAACCTAGTTTATGTGGAAGAAAAAAAATCAAAGTTAAGATTCTAAATTTTTGCTGCAAGCGGTAGCATCCTCTGCTCACACATTCAGCCACTGTCTCCCTTACATAGCTGAGCCTGAAGGAAAGGGAGTATTGTATGTGCATGGTCGTTCCCCTGTATCTAAAACACATCATTGGCAGCGGACGGCGAGTGTGCATTCCTCAGCTGATGGTTGTGCAGACGTGCCCTGACCATGAGCCTCAGCGCTCTGGTTATTTGAATGAGTGGTGACCGTGGGTGTAAGGGCAGGGAGGTAGAGAATCAGCTTCCTGTATCTTCCCGTTTTCAGTAAAACCTGGCAACACAAAACATATTCCAGCTCCTTCGGGCCGGTGGGTGTGCTGAGTGCCAGGGAGGAAGGGAAGGCAGGGCGATGCTGATGGCGCCCTCAGGGGGGGCCCTGAGGACACTTCACAGTACGGCGCCGGGTACGTCGTGCAGAAGGGCAAGGCCAAGGGAACATGACCGGAAGAGAGAGTTTTCGTTGTGAGACTGTAAATCTCCAAGTTTGGATTCACATTCTTCAGCTTTTAGGAACAGTAAGAGATGCGTCCGCGTGGACGTCCAGTCTCCTGGGCAGAAGTGTCAGATGATGCAGTCATTCAGGACAGCGAGGGGCATAAACAGATGTCAGAGCGGGAAGCAGCGTTAGGAAAGTGGCAGAAAGGAAGAGAAATGTAATTTCTCCTGCTCCCTCTGCGTGAATGGGTTAGAACAGCCGTGGGCAAACTACGGCCTGCGGGCCTGATCCGGCCCATTTGAAATGAATAAAACTAAAAAAAAAGAAACAAAAGCCCTTACCCTTTTATGTAATGATGTTTACTTTGAATTTCTATTAGTTCACACAAACACTCCATCCATGCTTTTGTTCCGGCCCTCCGGTCCAGTTTAAGAACCCATTGTGGCCCTCGAGTCAAAAAGTTTGCCCACCCCTGGGTTAGAGTCTAACCTTTAGACCAGTGATGGCGAACCTATGACATGAATGTCAGAGGGGACACGCGAACTCATTTTTTTGGTTGATTTTTCTTTGTTAAATGGCATTTAAATATATAAAATAAATATCAAAAATAGAAGTCTTTGTTTTACTATGGTTGCAAATATCAAAAAATTTCTATATGTGACACGGCACCAGAGTTAAGTTAGGGTTTTTCAAAATGCTGACACGCTGAGCTCAAAAGGTTCGCCATCACTGCCTTAGACTGATGGCGCTCTGGTCTGGAGAGAGTCCTAGGGAAGTACCTCAGGGGAGAGCAAATTCACACCCTGTTCGGGGCTGCCTCAGGCCTCAGCCGAATTTACATACAGAAGAAAATAACCCATAAGCCATTGCAGAAACCCAGGAAACCATTCCCTTCCCCTGACCATCGGTCCTGCATTTAAAGTTCACATTCAGTACATCTATCTAAGTAAATGATACTTCTGTTCTAATAATTAATACTCTTCAAGTTCATCTTTACCTGTATAACAATAACATTGGTTTTCATTTAGTGAAGAGATTTAAAGGGGAAAAAAAGTTCTGTATACTTATATGTAGTTGTAATGAGTGGTTCCTTTGTAAATTCATTCCTATTTGAATGAAATAGTGAAACCTGGCAAAGTGATGTTCATCAGCTACGTTGGTCTCTATGTTGTGAAGTGGTGAACTCATTGTGGGTCTTGTAGTGCAAACTAATTGTGTGTGCTCTGAGGTGTCACTTATTATACCAAAGCCTTCCCTTGTTTAGAAGTAATACCTTTATAAAGTGGCTTAATGTGCTCTTAGAGCATGATGTACATGGAGGACATTGTTAAAAGGGCATTTTTTATACATAAAGACAAATAAATGAGGGCAAAAGAATAGGATTTACATTAGTAAATCCATACGGGAATGGAAGCGGCCGTCTCAGAGAAGGAAGTTGGCAAAGCATGACTTGTAAACTGCATGCATGATTCATCAGCGAGTGGTCTGATGGGCTAAGCGGCAAACTTTGTGACCAGGTGACCGTCTATGGAACAAGACCCACGTATACAAGCCTCTGCATCATGTAGTAATCACACCCACGTCCCAAGAGTTTCTATCAATTACTGATTTTTAAAAATATATATTTATTGATTTCAGAGATGAAAGGAGAGGGAGAGAGAGATAGAAACATCAATGATGAGAGAGAATCGTGGAATGGCTACCTCCTGCAGCCCCCACACTGGGGATTGAGCCCACAACTGGGCATGTGACCTGACCGGGAATTGAACTGTGACCTCCTGGTTCATAGGTCGATGCTAAATCATTGAGCCACACCAGCCAGGCACATAAGTGTTTTTAAAACATGTAACTGATCTGAAGAATTAGGCATATTTATTTATTTATATACTAGGGCCCAGTGCACAAATTCGTGCACCTTGAAAGGAACTGTGGGCTGCAAGGCTGTGGTGGACACAGGGGCGAGTCTCAGCCCATCCTCCATGCCCCCACCTGGCCCCTCCCAGCGCGGCCCCGGGTCCCCTGTCTTCCAGCAGCCCTGCTCCCACCATCGCTGCTCCCACGCCCTGAGGGCGCTGGCCCCACTCGCACTCGCTGATGGTGTGGAGTGATTGGGGCCAGCACCAGCAATGGGTGCGAGCTGGCTGCGAGTGATGGCTGCTGGCCCCTATCGCCCCTGAGGGCTTCTCCACCTCCCCCTGCTCCTGAGGGGCAGTTGGGGCAGCAGCTACAGCTTGCACCTGCTGATGGCACCAAGTGATTGGGGCCGGTGCCAGCTGCTGGCAGCAGGTACAAGTGGCGGCTCTAGTGCCGGCAGCAGGTGGGAGCGCCGGGTGGGACCTCAGTGTGTGGAAGCAAAAAATTTTCAGTAGCCACCAGAGGCTCGCCCTGATGACAACGTCCAGTAGTGCCCTGCCTTGGTCTGGCGACCCCGCTCACCTGCTCCACCATCCCGCCACAGCCAACACCCGCCATGTTCCACGTGCACCCCCTGGTGGCCAGCGCACGTCATAGTGACCGGTTGTTCGGTTATTCTGCTGTTCAGTCTATTTGCATATTAGGGTTTTATATAGAGAGATTTATTTTTGGATTAGGTATCTTTTGGCTTAGGAGGGAAAATTGTGAACTAATAAAGAGTTATACTACCTGAGCCAGGTATTTCATAAAGTATCTTGAAATATACATGAGGATATGGATTGTACATTCTTGTATGGTTAATTAGGTATTTAATAAATCAGAAGAATGACTCCTTTTGGACTTAATGCAGAAAATAAATTAGATCTATTAAATAAATTACAAAGCATTTTTCACTTGGTTTTGAAAACTGCCTCAGTGTCTGAACAACTTAATAAATCACAGATCTGGACCCTTTATGTAAGCTGTCCTAATGCCAGGTTGCTATGAAGGGAATTAGACCGAGCATTCCCGAGCGGATTTCACTAATTTCTAGAAGCCTCGAGGGGTGTTTAGATTTCTGGAATGCAAAGTCAGCTTCAACATTAAATCTACTTCACATATTTCCACGTCCTTCTGTCCTTTTCTACCCAGTTTCAGAATTTTAAACCACGATTCCATGAACATATACTGGATGACATGGTGGTGCAATTAAAACGCTTAAGTTATTTTTAGGTGATTTCCTTTTTTTGTGGAGTTACCAAGAGATAGCACAGGACAATCAATGCCTCATAATGACTTTCCCAGAAGGCCGGGCGCTGGCTGTCCCTGTGGTGCGAGAATCATTTGATGTGTATGTGGCAGTCTGGGTCGTGTGTTTTTTTCCTTCAAATTTTGATAATTGCTTAAATAGAATTGCTTGCTTTGCTTCATTAATAAAATTATTTGCTAATCCCGACCTAGGAGGAAATAGAAAAACGTTGCTGTTTAAGGATAGTTCAAAATTCAAACACATGACTTGTTAATAGCTACGAAGTAAGCAGACCCTCTTTTTTCTTTTTCTTTTTTTTAACATTTTTATGTATGTATGTATTTATTTTTTGATCCTCACCCGAGGATATTTTTCCATTGATTTTTAGAGAGTGTGGAAGAGAAAGGGAAAGACAGAGAGAAACATTGATGTGAGATAGATACATCGATGGGTTGCCTCCTGCATGCGCCCCGACCAGGGCCCAGGCCTGGGAGGAGCCTGCGACCGAGGTACGAGCCCTTGACCAGAATCAAACCTGGACCCTTTGGTCCGCAGGCCGACGCTCTAGCCACTGACCCACACCGGCCAGGGCCAGTCCCTCTTTCTTAAACATAGTGTTGAATGTACGCAATGAATGTCTACACTGGAAATAAGTTTCTTGGTTCACTACTTTTAT